GCTTTGTGTGATAATAATCTGTGTTGATGATCATTCCATTGGTTTCGTGTCTCATATACACTTAGACTAAAAATTAATTGCGCATTCGCTTTTTTTATCCAACCTGGACATTACATATGCAAATCCCACAAAAAAAAACGTAAAGGAAAGAAAATGCCTGTTTGGTGAAGTATATTAAAGCTAACAAGAGAGAAAAAATGGTACATACAGGAATATTTATGAAACGTAAAAGAGTTAAGTATTACATTTCACATTTGTATTCATTTCAGGTCATTTAAATTATGCAGATATTTATTTTACGATGTCAAGTAGATAATAGAAGTTGTGATGCAGTGCGAAAGTGTTGTGTGTGTTGATGCGTCATTCCTATTTTTTCTGAGATATGACTCAATTACACATATCGCGGGTGCGGTGCTGATTTCCCCTTAATGCTTCATAAAATTTTTGGAAACGCAAAAATGCTGAAAATCGCAATGTATAACTTTTAACATAACCTCTCTTCAACACAAATAACCCATCTGGTACAGCTAACAGATATACTTCATGGGCAGCATATTCAGTAATAATTTTCTCAGATAGCAAATATCACTCACAGCGCTGATAGCGAGCAAACGTGGAATGTACTACGATTATTTGCACACTAGGAACTATCTAGGCGGCAAGTTGACATTTTGTTGGTTTTATTTGACGTTTTATAGGGTTATTACGATATAGCCTTGCGGATTTGCATCCTTATAACGTTGAACATCGTAATCTGGCAGTTGCGATTTGCTAAATTTGCACAAAGTACGTTCAGTCCAAACTGAGTGTTGATGTTGAAATCCCTGTACAGACATCACGAGAACGTCTATTACCATAGCCCTCTAACTCAATTCGAAGAGAGGAGCCTCGCTTAAGCCACAAGGGTTTCGAGTAATCCAGAATCTTTTCCAATAGTGCCACCAATGCATACGCTTTAAGTGCTGGCCCATTTATTTAACTATCATTTTACGTACCACTTTATCAGTGACTAAAAAAGATTATAAAACATAAGGCACAACGATCGAAGTCAATTAGAAACGGACATATACATTCAGGGCTGTTAAATCCTACTAGTTAGAACAATGTTCAATAAACTCATCTATGATATAAAACCAGCCGTCGAGCAAAGTATTGTAGCGTTTTTCTGTGTTCTTCTGGGTGTGGATTAAAACACTGGATTCCACAAACAGAAATGCAATAATTTATTTAACTTGACTAGATACAACATTTATGTACACCACTGTTTATGTCTAACCACTTATTTACGAATTACCATGTCGCGCCATTCACTGCACTTATACTCTACTCTGCTCTACTCTACTCTCCCGGCCGTCAAGCCATATAGTCCGCATCGTCCATTCGAGAAGATTCCGGTGAGCCACATAGCGGCATTCCAGAATCGTCGAGGTCACTTCGCGTCGATCTAGAAGGCGATCACAGGCACGGTTCTCAACAGATGTGGCCAAGCGGCATGTGCGGTCCCGATCCGCGTAAAAACGGCCATCAAGCTCTGGTGAGTAAGAGAGTCTGGCGCGGTCCCCAACAGGTGGCGCCAACAGTACTATTTATTCTTGTTACAATATGTTTTGCGAGAAGTTTACGTTTAAATCTACTAAGTGACAGATAAATCCGAATACCCAGTTTGAATGGTTTTATTTTAATAAAAGTTGGTGAATGTATTTATCTTACTGTAAATAACAAGTGAACAAATTTTCAGCCTTATCAGTTGGACATTCCGGTTTTTATACTGCTGTCAGGCATGGCTTCGAGAAGGCCGTACGCAAAGAGCAAGGGGCACTGGACGCCGCCGTAGAACAACAGACCGTGAAGATCGCCGCCTAAGATCATTGGCCTTAAGG